CCCCCCCCTCCCCTGGGCTTCCCTAGCACCTGTGGGCAACCTCACCTGCCCAGAAGTGCCCAGAACCATCCAATGAGCAGGATGATGTTAAAAAGAAAAATCACCATTTCTACATCAAGGCTCATGCATTTTAATCAGAGGAACCCTCAGGGCCTCACTCAGAACCTAGTTACTCTATTTTTAGATATTACTCTAACCACCCTGGTGATCTGATGTCTCTGGTCTCCACAGATGAGAGGCATCATCGATGAAGGCTGGAGAGAGGGACAGCGGACCCCTGATGAGAGCGAACCATGTCAAGTAGCATCGAGGGAGGAAGGGAAGCCCCCTCTAGAACCCCAAGGACTCAAGGAGCCCAAGCGCATGCCCCCCTCCCCATGTTGCCTTGCCCAGCACGCTGGGTCCCTCCCATGGCTCACTGCCCATCTGTACTTCCGGGACTGGAAGCTCCAGGATGAGGCAGGGAGCCTCAGACCCTCTGAATGACGGTGGCCAACAAGTGTCCCACCGGTCTCCACAGCCCAGTACAGGGTACAGGACCTGAAGGCAATAAATGGTTCATTTTTGCTTGTGTTATTCCAAAGGCTCAGGACTTTAAACTACATACTAGAAAACCATCCTGGAAAATGGCTCCACATTGAATGCTTAAAGCGCTCAGCTTCAGTTTCAGGGAAATCTGACTCATGTTGAGTAGCTGGTTTACTGTCCCTGTGGGAGGAGAGGCTTCCCAGAATCCACCCTTGGTGAGCTGGAGTCAGCAAAGAGGGGCTTCTGGAGAGACGGGTCCTGCTTGGGGTACGAGACCTGCTAGGAGGGTCCTTGTCCTTCTAGGCTGTGATGTGGGCACCTTCCTCCTCCTGTCTCCTGGGTGGCTGTGAGGGTCAAGAGCTGATGCCCAGAACAGTCCCAGAGGACAGTGGGAGAGGGCATTGGAGGGACTGCGCGGCTGAGGGAAGAGTGGGGGGGGGGGGGGGGGGGGGCGGATCATCATCCCAGCAGCAGGAAAAGCAGGTGGGGACAGGAGGTGAGGCAGAGGCTGGCTTGAGGAACCATAGGACCCTGGATGCAAGGCCAAGCATGACGAGGGTCCAGGTGGGGGAGACGAAGTAGGTCAGGTGACAACAAGCCATGGGGGCCACAGCCAGGAGCTTGACTTTGCCCTCGGATGTCATGACCGGGTCTGCCTTTCGGAAGCTCACCGCGGCACAGTGTGGCCAGGGAAGACAGCCAAGGGAGGTGAGGGCACTGGGGCCAGCCCTGTGAGTCGGGAGCCGCCCCGGCACTGGATGGTGGCGGCCGTGCAGGTGTGGAGAAGTGGCCACGCTCGCCGGGTGCGAGGGCGACGCCCGTGCACCTGTTCAGACAAGCGTGGGGGGACAAGGGGTCCCAGGCACCGGGACAGAAAACCCTGGGGGTACAGCAGCCTGCTGGGGGAGAGGCTGGTTTCAGATTCCTACCTGGTGAGTTCAAGGAGTTTGGAAGACAAGCTAGTAGAGACACAGAATGCACAGAATGGTGCTCAGTCTGGGCTGGAAACCGCAATCTGGGCACAGGGATGGCGTGGGAAGGAAACAGAGATGCCCGGGAGCAAGTGTCCCCTCAGGCTGGCTTTTGCAACACGCAGCCCAGCCTGCAGGCGGATGGAGCAGGGGAGGCGTGAACCTGATGAGGCTCAGCATGTGACCGGCCTGCCTCGCCACGTGCTCCACGCCCTGGTCCTCTCCCCTTCCGTTCACAGGGCACCCCCAGCCAGCCCACAGCCCCGGTGCCACCCTCTCTTCCCGGGTGCCTTTGTCACCACGTCATCACCTGGCAGCTCTTGGCCCACTTCTAGCCCATATGACAACTGGGGATTAACTGCACGTTATCGGACGAGGCAGTGTATCAAATCCATTCTTTCACTAATCAAAAAAGCAATCAAGTCTGTCGGTGGCGATCTGTGTTTTACAAACTCCTGGTGCTTTTTGATCAGGCTTGGGGCTCCCCTGGGGGCTCCGTGGGTTGAGTTTTTCGTCTAGGAGCCATGATGCGATTGGGGGGAGAGTCGTCTTCCAGAGCTGGTGGACGCAGCTGTGTGTGTGTGTGCACGTAAGCGTGAGGTGCACGTGCACACGCGTGTGGGGGTGTGTGGGGGAAAGCGTGCCGTGAGTCCCTGGTTGATGTGTGTGTACAAAGAAGGAAAAAGAGAAAGCAACTAGCTATTTATAGGAAATTCGGGAGAACCTCACCCCTAGCTGGAAGCAACTTTCAAAATCGTTATATTTGCGGAATTAAGGTCTGACAGCTTCCTGTGAACATGACAGCTGAGCAGGGAAGGAGTTTTTCTTAAATACTCAAAATTGCTTATGTGACACTATGGGGCTTTTCTCCCCCTTCTTAAATAAAAAGGAAAGATAAATTTATAGGGAAACCAATAGTAAACGGGAGCTGCCTTCAAGTCAAGATAAACTCTTCCTACAAAGAGAGAGCACCTTGGCTGCAAATCTCCTCCAGTGGATTTCTCCCCACAGACTCAGCTGTCGGGGGAGGGAGGTCCCCCACCTGCCAGACCGTCTGCCAAGGCTCAACACCCGATGGCTTCAGTGGATGAAAGAGGGGGACATCTCTGTGTGATGAGCCAAGTTTACTGGTTGTGATATTGGGACATCACCAGGTGCCTCTCCTTTCTGTCCAGCCCTCGATGGCTTCTGTGACCAGCTGATTCTCCACCTCTCTCTCCACCTCTCCCTCCCTACCTCCCTCGTCTCTTTCCCCCTCTTCCTCCCTTCCTCCCTCCTTCCCTGCCTCTGTGTCCCTTCCCCACTTTCCTTCCCTTCCCTGCCCCCCACCAAAAGCCCAGCCCTCTGTTTTCCCCTTTCAGCCAGGGCTACAGAACACGGCCGGCTCACTGTCCCCAGGCAGGCCTTGTGGCTCCTGTTTCTACAATTCCCCTCGTGGGGTCCCACTGCCAGTGCAAACCCCACTCAGCCCGAGTCCATCCAGGGCCTCTGTATCCCA